CATCATGGTGTTGGTTCTAGGAAATGAAACAGAAAACCCTGCTCCACTAGTCCTGGGCTTCTGTCTGCGGTACACCATGCAGGCAGCAGCACCCTCACGAGGGGACAGAATGAAACGAGGTGAGTACAGAGGGACCAAAGCTTGTGGAGGCATGCGCTCTGGGCAGGTGAACAGGCCTTATTTTCCATATTTTCCTGGAATGCTGCCACAGAGGATCACCCCTTAGGATTTTTAAAGAGTAATTGGAAAAAAATTAAAATAAGAAAATGTAGCCTTTAAAACGTAGATATTCAGCCCTAGCCACTTTGGCTCAGTAGATAGTGTTGGCCTGTGGACTGAAGGATCCCAGGTTCGATTCTGGTCAAGGGCACATCCCAGGGTTGCGGGCTCAATTACCAGTTGGGGGTGTGCAGGAAGCAGTCGATCAATAATTCTTTTTCATCATTGATGTTTCTATCTCTATCTCTCGCTCTTCCTTCCTCTCTGAAGTCAATAAAAATATATTTTTTTAAAGTAAATATTCTGCCCTGGCTGGTGTGGCTCAGTTGGTTGGGCATCATCCCATGCACCGAAAGGCACATACCCATGTTGTGGGTTTGATTCTGGTCAGAGTGCCTACAGAAGGTAATGATCTTTCTCTGTCATATCAATGTTTCTCTCTCTCTCTCTCTCTCTCTCTCTCTCTCTCAAATCAATTAAAAATATATTAAAAAATTAAAAGAGGATATTCAGCACATAGAACTTATCACCCCAGAGGGTGTTGCGACTGAAAATAGAAAGTGGCTAGGGACATGATTTACTGAGAGGACTCGGAGAGTTTCAGAGAATGCCACTGAGTTTGACAGCACTTCCATGAAAGGCGACCGACTTCTCAACACGCCTCTCAACATCTTGCCACAGCCCCTCTAACAGGCTCAGGAGGACACTGGCTCAGAAATGGCAAATCACTCCTTGCTCCCTGCCAACTGCCAAGAGAGTGACGCCACTGGACAGTTTCAAAGCTGTTCGTTGAGAAAATGGCCATGACCAGGGTGCCAGGATACACATGTCAGCAGATGTGACAACTATGGAATTTTCCTAAGGTCTGTAACAAGGGAGCAGGCAATACATATGGAAAAGCATTAAGGCAAAAACCAAAACAACAACAAAAACCCTACTGAGGCCCTAACCGGTTTGGCTTAGTGGATAGAGCATCGGCCTGCGGACTGAACCGTCCCAGATTCGATTCCGGCCAAGGGCATGTACCTTGGTTGCGGGCACATCCCCAGTAGGGGGTGTGCAGGAGGCAGCTGATTGATGTTTCTCTCTCATCAATGTCTCGAACTCTCTATCCCTCTCCCTTCCTCTCTGTAAAAAATCAATAAAATATATTTTTTTAAAAAACCCTACTGAGCCTACATAATGGCTGAAACACCCTTAGTTAGGAATGTTGCTTCTGAGGAACTTGCCAAAATAGGCTTAATTTAATTAAGTATTAATTAGTATTAATGAATTTCCCATTCTTTCCCTTTGGGTCTCCTATGGCAGAGGCCAACTGCAAAACAGGTACATTTCTAATGTTCATGTAGTTTATCTGCTACCCCAACCTGGACATTGTCACCGCTGAATTTGTTTTTAAGTCACAGCTAATAGATTCTGATACATTTAGAAACTTCAGGGCAAATAAAGTTGAACAATCTCTCCAAATCAATTCTAGAGCCCCCTCTTCATGGTAAACAAATGAACCCAAGGTAAGACAGCACTGAGCTCCCAAGGGAAAGCCAAGTCCCCTTCTTCATTCTGGCCATCTCTTCCCTCCACACCTGTCTTGGTCTGTCTGTAACGTGGAAGATAAAGGCTGCTCTTTGCAGCCCTTTATTAGACACATGAGTTAGAAGGCCACTTCCTGGGGCTCCTCAGGATGACATCAAGTTCACAGAGGGTCTGTCCCCAGACCCTCAAGGGCTTTCTGCCTTACATCTTTCCCTTTTGCCTTATGTGATTCTCCACATCTTAGACCAACAGTAGAAACACAACATGATGAAATTCAGCACAGGATTTCTGTCTTTCTCCACAAAACATAATTAAAGTCATCTTACTAAAAAGCTATATATACATTTCCTGCAGAGAGAGAGCAAGAGAGAAATGTAGATCCAGTTCCAGAAACTATTTGGAAAGGAAACCAAAAAGCACATCTTTCTGTTCTTATCGTTTCCGTGAAGTGCTGACCCAGCCTGGCTCTTGCACACGAATCTTTGATGGGGGTGGAGGGGACTCAGATGGTCAGAGCCATGCTCTGTTCTGATGCTGGTCTCGTGTAAGGTCTCTAACGGGAACGGAAACAGACTCCCTTTGCTATGTGCTGTCTTGCAAAATTGACTTCATTTTATTTTTGTTGCACTCCATTGTGTTTAATGAAAAACTTCTCGTGAGTCAGGATTCGGAAGTGGCTGCTTACAGCTGTGTTTCATAAAAATCCCAGTCATGCATTAGGAACAGAAGTAAAACTGGCTATAGCTGCAGTGGTAACATACACACGATGGATGCAACTCTCCAATGTACTGCGTTTTAACCCTAATTTTCATGCTCACCTTTTGTAGCATTTGTAAATTATCCCCTGCTCACATTCCCTATCCCCCCAAAACAAAGGTATGGGCTCCTGGGTCCTGTTGTAGAAAATTCTGGAGTCCTTCTGGTAAATTTTTCAACATATTACTTTCCTCTTATGCTTTCTCTTTATACAAAACTAGGCAAACATGTGCCCTTTGGCTAGGCAATAACTTATTTTAAGAGGTTACCACCTATGTCAAGCAAGAAGGAACCTTTGGGCTCCTGAAAGAGCACCAACCAGACATGTCACCTACCACAGTGGGACCAAGAGGAGGGGAGGGAGGGGAACTGTCCAGTTGGGGTCTTCTCCAGGAAGCTTCTAATCTTACCATGTCCTTTGTAAAAATGAAGTCAGAGGTGCCTTCACTGCCAAACTGTTCCTCCCTTTATTCCTCCTGCCTGGAGTCGAGGGCCAGTCTCTCCCCAGCCACCTCTGAGGTGATGAGCTAGAGCCGGGGCCTAGAGGGTAAAGCCAGCCAGATGAGCCCAGTAAGGGGTGGGGGGAGGAGGAGGAAGAGGGAGACAGGCCAACTAGATCAGCAGGGTGGAGGCTGGAATGAGTGAGGTCAACTGCTGGATAACTCCTGGCAACCAGAGACAGCGTTTTAACCCAGCCAGGCCCATCTTCCCTGAATGCCAGGTCTGACTTTAAGAACTGAAGGGACCCGGCCGTGGTGCCTCAGGGGTTGAGTGTTGACCTGTGAACCAGGAGGTCACAGTTCGATTCCCGGTCCCCAGTCAGGGCACATGCCTGATCCCCAGAGTGGGGAGTGCAGGAGGCAGCCAACCAATGATTCTCTTTCATGATTGATGTTTGTTTTCTCTCTCTCCCTCTCCCTTCCCCTCTCAAATTAATAAAAATATATTTTTAAAAAAAACTGCAGGGGACACATGGCTGGCTGAGCACCACGTTACCCTGGAGAGTCACACACAACACGAGTTTTAACAGAAAGTTGACTGGTTACAGCCCCCCTACCTGCTCAGTCAGCAACGCACGGACAGGCACTAACTCTGTCACTGGACCTTCTGTCTGAGGGCGCTCTTGCCCGAGGATGCTGCATGTACTTTTTGATTCAGAATAGGCGCCCGACTGGCAGGTCAGAGAGCCTGACTCAGGCAGCCTTACACTCCCCCAAACAGTGGTAAATGGAGAAACACATGGAGCCGGAATTAGCTCCTGAGAATAAGCTCTTAAGCGGGCACTCTAACCCAGTGGTTCTCAACCTTGGCTACGCATTAGAACTTTAATTCAGTTGCTCATGTTGTGGTGACCCCCAATTTCATTGTTACAAATTGAACATAATTAAAGCATAGTGATTAATCACAAAAAACAATATGTAATTATATATGTGTTTTCCGATGGTCTTAGGCGACCCCTGTGAAAGGGCCATTCTACCCCCAAAGGCATCGCGACCCACAGGTTGAGAACGGCTGGCATAGGTGGGGCTGCAGTAAAATACTTCACAAAGTGTTTTCTTACACCCCTCATTCCTGAGAAGTGAGGGTCATCTTAAACCTGTTTTAAAACGGTAACACACCACAACTCACAAGGGTTTTAAAAACAACAACCCACCAGTTATTTCAGATCTGTAAAGAAGAACCAAATCATTAGAAATAAAACCTGTGATGCAGGATGCTGCCGCTTTTCTCGTTAACCGTGACTTTATCCTTAATGCCCAGTAACTTCGTGCACAGTGCTCCCCATTTATAAAAGGGGATGTGACATCTCTATTAAAAATGCCACAGCAGCAAAGCCTGCAGAACTCTCAGACATTTATGAAGAATCGGGAATCTAGATGGATGCGTAATATTTACAGGATGCCAACGCTATGGCTGTTTGGAACTGTTTAGATGGCTGCGTTATGCTGATGCAGCCAAGAATTATTCAAAGAAATGGAACTTGAATTACTGTCTTTGCAAAAGCATTGTGTGGTTACAGCTGAGGTTCAAACTACTCCTTTCAGCTCTGATCTCTGAAGGTAAGAGTAATTAATCACGTGAATAAAGTCCACGTGTTGGATAAATGAGCAAGTCTTCTCTCTTCTAGTTGGGAGGAGGGCGGCGGGTGCCAACATCTGCTGTCAGGTGATGCTAATATTCCCGGGTTAACCTTTTGGTTTTTTCCTCCAGGTTATTTGGGCCTTTGAAAACTACTTTACTTAATGGTGTTCGTGGACTGCTATCTATGTCAGCTACTGGGGCCCCTTACTCATTTAGCTTACACCTAGGACGTGGCACAAAGAGTAAAATGGTAAAGGTCAGATCTTTATACTAACTGCCCTTCCCTCCCCTTTTTTTAACCAAACAGCAAAAGCAGCACAAAGGGAATTTTACAGACAACAAATTTCAGTCCCACTCCACAGCGGGAAAAAACTCTGCAAGTCAGGAAGCAGGCCAGATGCTGGCGGTACCTTTGAGACGGACAATTCCTTAGACTTAGACTCGAACAGGTGCTCCAGCCTGGAAGTGTCCACCTTGATAGGTTCCAGTTTTGACCACAGGAATTCTCTGCAGCGCCGGTTGTTCTTACATGGCCACTCGAAAGGCCGCACTTCATTCCAGAACAGACGGATGGTCTTCTTTTTCTTCGTGAATGCCGGCTGACCCCTGGGTACCTGGGGCCACCCTAAGCCCTGAGGAGCATTGAATACTGGAGGAGGAGCCAATAAATTACCGGGGATGGGAGGGGGAGGCACACTGTCCAGCAAGGGTGGAGGGGG